CTGAGGAACCATCTGGACCCTCGAATCTTTTCCCTATTTATCTCTTACCTATTTTTGGCAAAAGTCTACAGTCTCTAATCAGCCCCCGATTGGTTACGCGTCTTACTCCCCACGGACTCCTCTCGGAGAAACAATATGATTTCCGTTTTTCCAAGCCTGTCGCCGATGTGTTGACGGCTCTCACAGAATTTGCCTATCAAGCTTTAGATTATAACGGCGAAGCTCGGGTTGTGGCTCCAGATATCTCGAAAGCCTTAAACAGGTTTTGGCATAGTGGCCTTCTTTATATGTTCAATGGCTACAATGTCTCTGGACGAATATTTGACTTAATCTAATCGTTCCTAACAAATCCTGAAATGAAGGTCATTCAGAACGGCCACGCTTCTAGATCCTTTCCTTTTAATTCGGGGTTGCCCTAGAGCTCTACCCTTGGACCTACGTTGTGTCTAATCTTCATCAACGATCTTCCAGATGTTATCAGTTCCCAACTAAATATTTAAGAAGATGACGCAACTATTTATTCCTGTCTTAGTAGCCTGTCCGACATGCTCGACAAAGTAAAACTGGAAACTGCTTTCGAAAAGGACCTCCAATCAGTGGTTAATTGGGGCAAGTAATGGCTTGTAAATGTTAACGCCCCCAAAGCAAAACTCAATCACAACAAAGAACCTGTTCTGTTTGTGTTATGGTGAAACACACCTATTTTATAGTTAATAGACCCTCCCACCTAATATAAGTAGGAGTAGTAAGAGAAACGGGGGTCAGTCGATGTCGGACGACAGTAGTCGAATACGAAAGTAATCAGTGACCACAACAAGATTACTCTGCGTAATACCTATTATATCAAGTTCCTAATATTTAGTACGTCGAACCTATTTTAGGACCGATTTAGTACAAATACAAGCCTCCACTGCGAAATAACTCCACAACAGTCTATCATCGGCATCACTGGTGCTAACCTCCAGGAACGCAACTCTTTGCGCTTTCTTGGACTCACCATTTCCACTGACATGGAATGGAGTGATTATATGGAATTAGTTGCTTGGTCTACTGCAAGGAAAGTTGGTTCACTGCGTCGTACCAGACCAATTTTTCTCCTCAGAATCCATCTTGCACGTTTATAAATCTTCCATTCACCCGTACATTGAATACTGCTGCCATAATTTGGTCTGGTGCTACAACTGTATATCTCGAGATTTTTGACAAAATTCAAAGAAGGATCTGTAATGGTATCGATTCTGACCGGGAGTTCCAATCAGCGTTCTGGTACCGGAACGAGGTATTATGGATAGGAGGTTCCTGTTTAATGGCTACTTGGAAGGAGATATCAATAGTGTACCACAAATTGGTCGAAGTTACCAAGAGGGCAGTAATGTAAAGCTTGGCAAGATCAGGGAGCGTAGCTAAGAAATAGATCCAATAGAGAAGCATATTGCTCGTTTTGGCTAAGGAAGTCCATAATTTGAGTGAGTGATCGAGCAATGGAAAATGTTCATGTCTATATACCGGCAACATCGGTACCGTTTTCGAATGTTTCAGCCACGTGTCGTGATGAGCATTAAAGTCACTGAAGACAAAGATGTTCGCAGCTGGAAAGAAAGCGCCTTTTCTATACTGTCAGCTATTGCATCTAATATATAAATCTAATTTATTTTATAAAACCTGGTCTTGTGCTCCTGCTTTTATATCTCAAGATACTTGACAAAATTTAAAGGAGTTTCTCACCTGGCATCTGATCAATTCGCCGATACTTAAGAGTTCATTTTGATTGCAGATAACGTCTAAACTTTGTACGCCAATGGACGACATTTTTTAAAAACTAATTGCTCACCCAATACAACCTCCAATAGCAACTCAAGGTAACTTGGCATCTCAACCTCAGTCACTTTCTCATCAACACGACGTGGCTTCCCTCTGTCTTTTCCACGGATATTTTCATGGTAACTGTCCTGAAGAGCGTTTATCCCTGGTGGCTCAACCACATGAATTGAAGTGTGCTACTCGATTGGCATGTAGGTCTCACCGTTTCACTGTTGAGCTAGCTAGATGCAACCGCCACTCCTATTCTAACAGTTTTTCTCGTACTTCTCATATGTGGAACTCCCGATTTCTTGCTTCCCTGTCACCTGTAGTCTTAAAAATTTAAATGCAACCTCAATTGCCACCTTCTGTCTTCCTGAATCCTGTTACTTTATTTTCTTCTTCTTCTTCTTCTTCTTCTTCTTCTTCTCTTTCACTCCCTGTAACCCCTTGCTTGGGGTGAAAAAAATCAGATACACAGGTTCATGGGTCTCTAGTCAAACACCATCGTCCACGTGTCTATTGTTGTCTCGAGAGGGTCAAGTTTTTATGCTAAAGTTCTCCCAATACACGCTCCCCCCCCCAATGTAGACGGTAATGAATGGGGTGCATGGCATGGACGTAAAAGGAGATAGAAAGGAAATAATATTATGAGAATAAGTAGAATAGATAACAATTGAGTCTAGACTGGAAGAAGTGTGACGTCACCCCGGCCTCACTCCGCGCCCGCCGCCGGGCTATCCTGTGACGACCAATGGGACTTGGTATTGGTCGCGGCACCAAATGTGACGTTCTAACCCTTTGCTGATTCGGATGGGAATCTGGTTAGATTCGGCATCAGCTTTGTCGTTCCCAGCTCGCCTCCAACGTCTGGTTACAGAAGTAACTGCTTTGATTTCTAGTCTAACCTACCCATGTTGTGATTTGATCTTAGGTAGACGAAATCAATCAGTCGCCGGGCCGCAATGCAAGCCGAGTCCGAGCAAAGGTAACACTACACAAGTATATGTAAAAGAAAATAAAGTAACAATTCCAAAAGTTCAAATGTGTTAAAAAAAAAATAATAAATATCTTTATATCTGGTTGCTGAATACAGGACGGCGTCTTTCTCCCAAACCACTAACATGGATTCGTGACACTTTGTGTTTGTTAGGCGAGTCTTATCATCTTAAGTTGTTTTCTGTATCTTCAGGCGATATTCGTAAAACTTGTTTTGGTGGTGTGAGTCTAAGTCGTTCTTCAAAAATAAATTGTTTTTGGTTAGAAGTTGAAGTCGGGATGCGTCGATCTTCAGTCAGCTTCCTGCGAGGCTGGTCTCAAAGCTCAACAGCTTCAACTGCAACTAACTTCTCTCTGCAATTCCAACTACTGGCTAACTCGCTGCGACTCTGCTTATATGGACGCCGACCAATACCGGGTGTGGGGTTGTCTTGGTTTGGGGTTCCTTGATAATTCTAAATCCACAATAAGGATTTTCTTTGTTTTCGGACAGGAAAATTTGTCATTTTCCATTTTTGGAAGTCCATTACTTTCTGCCCTAGAGGGGTTCTTAAGGGAATCGCCCTTCCAAATTCTTCCTTTCTCATATTGGTATCTCACACCAATCCCCTCAGAGGGCGTCAACAGGTTTCCCTTCTCTCTCATAGTGGCATCTCACACCAATCCCCTCAGAGGCGTCAACAGGCCTCCCTTCTCTCTCACATGTTTACCTTCGCCTACCGCTCACGCCACCATTCAGCCAATGAACGCTCAGCAGTGTGAGTGTTTGCAATTATCGCTCAAAGGAAAGAAAAAAACAATTATCTTCCTTTTTTGTCCTTCCTTCTCTTCCCCAAGCAGACCTCCCACGACTCGTGGTGTGGTCCTTAATCTCTATCTTAACCGAAAGTCACCTGGACTTTATCAATAGAGATTTCCGCCAGCGTCAAGTGGGTGGGTAACTGGATGTATTCGCATTCTGTATCCAATTATCCATTCCGATAACAAACTTTTATCATGTCCAGGTTTGGACAATAAAACAGGTGGTCTCTTTCCAAAATCAATGACATCTCCGAAAGATAGTTAATGGTTTATTCTTTCCCTCTCTCTCTTGGGTGGCCTTCAGCTGATGTCTTTCTCGGTCAATACGTGACCTGATTATAATTATCTCCCAGTTTCTGTTTCGTAGGGGCCACTTGACCAATTTGAAATTTTCATTATTGCCATGGGCAGATGGCTATCTCTTATTCGCCGCCTCGTAACATAAATTAATTCGACAGATCCGAGATCTTACGAATCTCCTATCTTCTGCGAGAGAAAAAAAATACTTTTTCTTTTCGCAAACGAAAACAAAATCTTCACCACTTTTCTTTGTCAAAAAAATAACATCGCTCAGTATGTCTTTTCGTGATAGCTTCTTCTCGCCTTAATTATTTCAGCTTCTTCTCGCCTTAATTATTTCTCGCTTTTCATTTTCACGCGACCGCTAAATAGTGTCACAGAAGTTAAAATTGTTCAATGTTTTGATTGTGATTGATTGATTTGATTTTTACAAATTATCAACTTTTTGCTGCTTATTTAAATCCAGAATTATTTCTTTGAAACTAAAGGTTTTCGGGAGATAATAATACATTTATGATACAAGTCTGACTAATTAACCCTTAGTTGGGGGAGAAGAGATGGATTCGTAATTTGCACAGGATATTTGCGCATAACAAGCTGTTTCAGTGGTACTTCTTCCTTACTAATTGAATACGGAGAAAATATATGAGCATAGTTTGACTATATACATGTGATGCAGCGGGATTTGACAATATAATCATGATAGCCTGGAAAACGCAACTTCAACAATGTGTTTTCTCGCGACACGTAGGCTTAGCCCTTGCTATCAGCATGTGGGGCACCATAAATTAAAACTCTCGTTCCACTTTGGTGTTTGCAGAGGTTCCCAATATTGACCCTAGTTTGTAAATTGTAGTTTTCAAGGTTTTGGTTGTGATTGATTGATTTGTTTTTAACGACTTGTCACCCTTTTGCTGGTTATTTAAAGCCAGAATTATTTCTTAGAAACTAAAAATTTGTGGGAGATAATAATACACTTATGATACAAGTTTGACTAATTAACCATTAGCTGGAGAAAAGAAATGGATTCATACTTTTTACAGGATATTTGCGGATAAGTGAACATAACAAGCTGTTTCAGTGGTACTTCTTCCTTACTTATGGAATGCGGAGAAAATATAAGAGCATGGTTTGACATGTGATGGGATCGGGCTTTGACAATATACACATGATGGCCTGGGAAACGTAACTTCAACAATGTGTTTTCTCGCGACACGTAGGCTTAGCCCTTGGTGTCAGCATGTGGGGCACCATAAATTAAAACTGTCGCTCCACTTTGGTGTTTGTGGAGGTTCTCAATATTGACCCTAGACTTGTAAATTGTAGTGTTCAAGATTTTGACTGTGATTGATTGTTTTGTTTTTTATGACTTATCAGCCTTTTGCAAGTTATTTGGAGCCCAGAATACTGGTAATGGTTGAACAACATCCTGTACGTTCCGAACTTTATTCTGCCCGTTCTGCTGCCATTCTTGAAAATCGAAAACGATGTCCAAATAGAATAATGTTGACCTGCATGATGTCTACCTTACTCAACATGATCTGCATTGAACACGTATAGAACAACGTCTGACTCATTCAATTCATCCACTTACAACCAACTGGTATATTGAGTCGAAATTTGCAAGAGACATTCACCATTGTTCTCTTTCTTTCTATCTTTTTTTTTTTTTCCTTGTCTCTTTTCCCTTTCTTAATTCATTTTCATTGTCTTTCTTTTCTGTCTATTTTCGCTTTCTTTCTTTACTCTTTTCTTGATTTTTTTCTTTCTTTACTTGATGCTTGATTTTCTTTCTTTTCTCATTGCTGCTCCATTTCTTTCTTTTTGTTTACTAATTTCTTACATTTTCATTGATTTATCTTCTCTCATTTTCTCTATTTCTTTTTAGTCTCTCTTTCCTTTATTAGTCTTTCTTTCCTTATTTTCTCTTACTTTATTTTTTCTATTCTTTTCTTTCTATTTATCCCTTTCTTTCTTTCTTTTTTCTTTCAATTCCTTTCCTTCTTTCTTTCTTTCTTTCTTTCTATTCACTTCTTTCTATCCCTTTCTTTCTTTATTTTTTCTTTCTATTCCTTTCCTTCTTTCTTTCTAGTCCTTTCCTTCTTTCTTTCCTTTTCTTTTTTTTTTTTTCTTTCTTTTCTTTCTTTTTCTTTCTACTCACTTCTTTCTATCCCTTTCTTCTTTTTTTTTTTTTTTTCTTTCTTTCCTTTCCTTTACTTTTTTTCTTTTTCTTTTATTTTTTCTTTCTATCCCTTTCTTTATTTTTTCTTTCTATTCCTTTCCTTCCTTCTTTCTTTCTATTCCTTTCTTTCTTTCTTACTTTCTTTCTTTCTATTTTTTTCTTTCTTTTTCCTTCTTTCTACTTGTGCGAGGACTGGTCAGTTTTAAATCCCAAAGACGAAATACAATTTATTAACATGGAAGCACTTATTTCCCGGCCTTTATTATTATTATTGTTGTTCACCTAATATAAGACCCAAGGGTATCTCAAGAAACACGGTTACTGAATAAAGTTTTTCTGTGGACGTAAGAAGGTAAGACATGAATATTGTGAGGATGTTTAGGATACATAACAGTTGATCCTGGACCTCGTGATGCGTTTGGGGCGTTAATGTAAATTATCCCGTTGTTATGTGTTTGTGGTTGATAGAGAAATCTTTTTTTTCTTTTTTTATACTGAAAATGAAATGAAGAAAATGTACAACAATAACATAAACAATAAGACTTTGAGACACGTGTTGACATTAATGATAAGAATGTGTATTTTTCTTTTCGTGATATTGAATACAATATTGGTATTGTGTGTGTTAATAATGTTCTCAGTGTTATTGTCTCTTTTGTTTCTTTAAAAGTTTGTGCTTACTTGTTTTTGCTTGTCCCGAGAATTTCGTTGTTAAGGGTAGCATTTGAGACCGTTAACTGTAGATTTTTACGGAGCGAAGAAGATACGTTTGTGTTCTTTTTACTACTGCTACTCTACTCTACTGACCCTACTTTACTGTCTTTGCTTGTGGTAGAAGAGTCGTTTTTTATAATGATGAGGTTTTAGACTTTTAGAATGATGAAATATCATCATCATATATCATCACTAGTGGCAAGGTTGCTTAAGATGATGAAATTTCTATCTATATGAAACATACTTATCATCAATCAACACTGGTGGAAAGATTGTTTTTAGAATGATGAAATATCATCGTCTTTCAGGAAGAGGTTAAGATAGCATTGATCTTGGAAGCATCTTCTCACAAATGGAAATTTCTTCTTAAAAATGGAATACGAAGGGAATGTGGATGATTCGACTCTGTGTGTGTGACATGGCTGTTCTTAGCTGTAAAAGTCTGAACTGGTGGAACTAAAGAAATGTAACTCGTCAGAACCCTAACCTCAATTCGTACTGATCTGTATATAGGATCATTTACTGTAAAACCGGACGATTATATGACCAGTGTTCGAGAAAAATTATTCGAAAAACATTTATTCGAATTGTAAATTGTTTGAATGAAAATTGGACAATGAAAAAGGACAATTATACTAAATGATAATTATTTAAAATGCAAAATTCTTTATTGAATCAAAATGTAAAAATTAAAAGAGGAAATACAGAAATGATAATTATTCGAAATACAAATGTCATTAATAAAACAATTTAGTAAGAAATTCTTATAACCTTTAGTTATATGATACTGCACGCAAATAGACAACTACAGAAGAATACTCGTTAAAGGATGCCACTATTTTTTAAGTTTTCCATTTACATTGCAATATTTCTTGGCGCTCTTGATATTTTGGCAACCTGCTCTTACTTTTGCAATACGAATTACTTGCAAAACCTTTTTCTTTTAAGTGCGTCTAAGAATTTCCATATTCTGGAATGATGGGATGACACTTGCTACAAAAAAGCCTTATGCCATACTTCAAAGATATTATTAGTTCTGGGTAAATCAATATTGACTCTCTCGAGACAAAACCACATACGTATTTCAAACATCGGTATTTTGAATAATTATCATTTAGTATAATTGTCCATTCGATTAATTTTCATTCAAACAATTTACAATTCGAATAAATGTTTTTCGAATAATTGTTGTCGAACAATTTTCTCGATGCAAAATATTCCCTGTATATTTAATCTTGATATTTCATTATATATATATATATATATATATATATATATATATGTGTGTGTGTGAAAGTGAACATTGAAGTCAACATTCAGAGACGACAGACTGTTTCATGATTAACGCAATCGTGGCGGCCTGACGATTGCCTCTAGCATTAAACAGCCTGTCGCCTCTGAGTGTTGACTTCAATGTTCACTTTTATATTTATATTTACATACGCTCTATCTCTGAGATTGAACACTTTATACCATAAATATAGCACATCTTAAAACTATATTTCTTCATATATATATATATATATATATATATATATATTCCTGTATAGTATACGAAAGCATATTGAAAAGTTCTCAGCCAGACTAAGAAATCTTTTCATAAAGTTCTAATGTTTTGGGAAATAAGTCAAGGCGAGATCATTTGAGCAACCTCTCGTATATGCATGAGTATGTATGCCCACGAAATGATATAGTACACACACACACACACACACACACACACACACACACACACACACACACACACGTGTTCATATGTGTGTGTGTTTATTACCTCTCGTAACGTCACAAAGATCTACTGGAACTGCTCAGTAACCTTGATATATTTAGGAGGGATATTGGAACAATCAAGAACTTATACTAGCAGCAAAACGCCTGCATACGGACAGAAAAGGAGTTCAGCAGATATACAAAAATAGGAAGGGGTGTAAAATAACGATGGGTCTTCTCATCGGATTTATTCAACCTATAAAGCGAGAACTAGAAGTCCTACCAGGATTCATTTCACTGGTCAACAAAAAAAAATTGAAATAATGTCGAGATACCAAACATCCTTTTTAGGTAATTTGAGGGCGCTGAATCTGAAAATGACCCTAACATTTTCTTGGTTACCTACCGTTTTTGCTGTACATAAATGCCTCATTTTTGGAAAAAAAAGCATTTTTTAAATTTGATTTTTATATATATATATATATATATATATATATATATGATATTGACCGATGGCAATATTTCTCAAAATAAAATCCTAGAAACGTCTCAATAAACCAATAAATATTGATCTGCTTATTGAGAAATACTATCTTTGCAATAACAATCAGACCCTAAGTCTTTAAAAATAACACGATTGAATATACCAAGAACAACAAGTATTTTCATCAAATCATTTAATAAACTAACAGCAGAAATAAAACCTTCGTGAATATAAGAAATATGGTAAAAAAATTTCTCTTTCTTGATTGTCGCGTTTAATGTTATTCCTGACCCTTTTAATACTCCAGCAGTATCATGGACAATGGAATAGGTACATTCAATTGGGATGCCTTTAGTTGGAGTTTCTTTTCAACTGTGAAAACAAAATGTTCTTAATGTGCTTGGTTTCTGTAGCAAAGGAGTCAAATTCAATATGGAGTGTAAGGGACGCAACTCTTTCCGTAGGAAAATGTCTGACACGACGCAACGCAAAGCAATGTATCCCGAACACGGGTGTGATGCCTTCTGCCAATTTCTCCAAGCGACCTGCTTTTATGGAGCTCAGACACACCTCATTAGCATGCGTGTAACGCGACCTTGCGACACTGCACGAGACCGAGAATATTAAAAAGTCACGGACGCCATCTTGGACCCTTTCTTTCTTTTCTCAACCCACAGGCCAGACAGACACGAGGGCGTTTGGGAGGTAAGCCATTTCTATTTTCCCCACAGTTTCCTTCCGTAGTGAAGGGGTAGAAGTAATAGAATAAATTTCTGAATATCAAACAGAAGATTTTAGGGTTTCATTGTCACCTTAATTATCAGTTTTATTAAAGTGTATTACTGATAAAGTTTATCAATTATTTTGAATTTTGGCGATAAATTGAAAAAAATTCGGTAGATCTATTTTAAAACTTTTGACTCTCATAAAAATAGTTTATTTCAGGTGGCTGACATGAATTGCTTGGCCTACCTGAAAATTGATGGGTTTCTACGATTTTTATTATGTAAATTTTGTGATCAGCCAAGATCGTAAATAGATCTTTTTTTCCAAAAATAAGCAATTTCAGTACAGCAAAGATGGCAGCTAACTATGTAAAAATAAAGTCATTTTTCGGAATCAGCACCACCAAATTAGCTAAAAAATGTTTTGTTTATTGGCACCCAAAATCGTATTGACTAATGAATTATTGACGGCCACAATCTTAACAACATAAAATATACAGATGATACGGTGATGACAGCAGACACTGAAAGAAAACTACAAGAAACCCTACAGAAGGTAGTGAAGGAAAGCGAGAAGAAAGGACTAAACATCAATTGCAAGAAGACAGAATACATGATTGTTAGCAAAAGGGACAATCCAAAATGCAAATTGCAAGTCGGGGATGCCAAAAACAAACATGTGCGAAAATTTAAATACCTGGGAATTTTTTTAACAGTAGAGGGAAAGTGTGACACTGAAATCCGAAGTAGTATTAGGATAGCCAAAGATGCATCCCAGAAGCTATGTAGAGTATTAATAAACAGGAAAAACTTTGTTAGAAACGAAGAAAAGAGTACTAAACTGATATCTGTCCTCCTGTGTGACACTGAGTGCTGGACAATCTCCTCAAAGATGACGAAGAGATTTGAAGCAACAGAAGTCTGGTTCTACAGAAGGATGCTGAGGATACCATGGACCGAATATTTGAGCAACGACGAGGTTTTGGAGAAAATGGAAAAACAAACGAAAGTTATACTTAACATCAGGAAGAGGGAGATAAGTTTTCTAAGGCACATAATGAGGAAAGAGGGCTTGGAAAATCTGATACTCTCAGGGCAGATTAAAAGCAAGAGAGACAAAGGAGAACAACACATAACATACTTAGTGAGATTGAGTAAATGGATGGCGGAACAGGGTTTGGAAGAAATAACAGAAAGAGAAAATTTATTAAAAACTACAAGGATCAGGAAGTTGTGGAGATCCATGATCGCCTACGTCCTGAGGGGATACGGTGCTAAAGAGAAGACATCTTTATTGTAGAGTGTTTTTACCTTTTATTTTATTTTTGCCTCTTTTTTTCCTTTTTTTCAATGATTCTTTCTCTTTTCCTTCTTTTTCACTTATTTTCACTTTCTTTATTCCTTTCTGTATCTTTTTATTTCTTTGATCACTGCTTCTTTCTTTCTTTCTTTTCTCATTGTTGCTTTCTTTCTTTCTATTTTCTGTCAGCCATTTTCTTATATTTTATCTTACATTTTCAGTGATTTTTCTTTTTCTCTATCTCTTTCTGTTCTGACCTTTTTTTCTCTTTCT